AAAAAAACACTATTTCAATTTGTAATTAATATTATGTGTTCTGTTATTGGTAAATAAAATGTTTGCTTTTCCCAACTTCACTGGAGGAAAAAAAAACAACTGATCATTTCTATACAGTGAGCTTCAATTCATTATAGAACATATATTCTAACCCACAGGAAATATCTCTTGAAAGAGGTTTGGATAGAAAACTATTTTCTCCAAAAATAATAACTATGAAAAATTACACAATTTTGTTTTTTTTTTCATTTGGAAGAAGCTGATAATTATCCGAGATGAAGCACTGTTCCCAGGTCCTGGGCTGCCAGCTGATGAAGGGAAGAGAGAAATGAAGTGGCATTGTCATTGCCCAGGCACATCTGGTTTGGGTTTCAAGCACTGAGCCATATCCTAATGTGTAGATTTGCCCTTTAAATTAACATCCCATTATCACGTTTTCTTTTTTTTTTTTTTTAATTTATTTATTCATGAGAGACAGAGAGAGAGAGAGAGAGGCAGAGGGAGAAGCAGGCTCCCAAGGAGCAGAGAGCCCGATGCGGGACTCGATCCCAGGACCCTGGGATCACGACCTGAGCTGAAGGCAGACGCTTAACCATCTGAGCCACCCAGGCGCCCCCCATTATCACGTTTTCTGGCAGGAAATTGTACCAACTGCAAATGGAGTTGGACTTAGAACTCCCCCAAGAAATGAGAGCAGCGCCTGGGTGGCTCAGTCGTTAAGCGTCTGCCTTCAGCTCAGGTCATGATCTCAGGGTCCTGGGATCAAGCCCTGCATCAAGCTCCCTGCTCCGCAGGAAGCCTGCTTCTCCCTCTCCCACTACCCCTGCTTGTGTTCCCTCTCTTGCTGTGTCTCTCTCTGTCAAATAAATAAAATCTTTAAAAAAAAAAGAAATGAGAGCAGCAACAGTTTAGACATAAAGTACCAAACCCTGGCTTGCAGAGTTCCGATTAACCTGAATGACTGCAAGCCTAGGAGGCTGAGGAAGGCAGAGGGTGAAGTGGTTCTTGAGAAAGGGTTTTGGTGGAAAATGGAGGAAAGGAGCAACCAAAACAATGGCAATGGTCAACCACAATGTAAGATTCTGTGTCAGTAGCTACTAATTATTAGTCTTCTCTTAATTCTCCGATTTGCTGCACTCAGGCTGGTCTGGATAAAGATTTTTAGATGCATAAGCAATGAAAAGTATATAGACCTCCTAAGCCATCTTCTTATGGAACTCAAAATGAAAGCAATATAGACCACAAGGTGAAGGTGGCAAAGACTACTGTAATTTTGTAAAATATCAATTATTAGATGATTTTAATATTGTTTTTCATTTCCTTTTTGAGCCTCTACTTTGTTATATGACGGATCTGAGTTAATAGATAACCAGCACCGTACCCTAGATATTCTGAACATAATTTGCTACTTGTTCAGTACTTTAAGGGTGTCTCAAAAATATGAATGGGAATCACCTACCCAACCAGCTTGGGTGGACCATCCTATTTCCTTTAGCTGTTTCGTGAATGACATCGCAAGCTAATCCAGTCAAATGAGTCAAAACCCATTGCATGTATCTCTGTGCCCAACTCCATAAAAATACATTTTGCAAACGCACCGTGGCAGAAGAAAGCAGATCATCTTGAGGAGGAAATCGATCAGAAAATCTTCCCGTGGGTAAACTCATTAGTGATTCCACTATGCTTCCAAGATAGACTTCAAAATCTTTATCATGACTTGTAGGACACTTTAGGGATCGGGCTTCCATACGGCCATGGAAGCCAGATCCCTAAGACTCATTTCCTGTTGCTCATTCCCTTCCAGATTCATTCCCTTCCAGACTCATTGCCTTCCAGACTCACTTCCTGTTGCTCCTGTGCCCCAGTATTCTGGTTAAATGACTAGCAGTTTCCCAATATACCTTGCTCTTGTCCAGGGACTTAGTGTGAGCTCTAGCTTCTGCCTAGAATAGCAATGCCCAGTAAAAATATAATGCAGCATATACAATTTTAAATTTTCTAGGAGGCACATTTAAAAAGTAAAAAGAAACAGAAAACTTAATAATGTATTTTCTTTAGCTCAGTACATCCAAAATATTATCGTTTCAACTGGTCATTGATATAAAAAGTATTAATGAGGCATTTTACACTTCTCTTTTGAACTAAGTCTGCAAAATCCAATCGCATTTATTAGTGCATCTTAATTCAGAACTAGCTGCATTTGCTGTGTCCCCAGCGGCTACCATATTGCACAGCACAGCTGTAGAAAACCTTTGCCCTCCTTCTCTTTCAATTTCAGATCAATTTCACCCTCTCTACGGATGCCCTCCACTCTCAGATCTAGGTGTCCCCCCATGTGCCACCAGAGTACCTGAGATTACCTTCTGCAATAGCACTTAACATACCCTATGGCTTGTTTGCATATCTTTATCTGCCAGTAGACTCGAAGCTCTCTGGATGCCTGGACCAGGTCTTACCTAATTTTACATCCCAAGCACCTAGCAAATGTTTGTCACATAAAGGCTCATGAGTTTTCACTTATGTTAAGCAGAAATAGCATATAATTGTCCAAGAGGGGATTGGTTTAAGAGTAAGTCCTAAATCTTTATATTAAGCTCTTATTAACTATAGTTCACTGTGTTGGTAAAGTAAATAATCTCTATGTCCTAGTTTTGGGGGTGCTGCTGCTGTTGTTGTTGTTGTTGTTGTTGTTTTAATCTCTTTTTCCAAAACAAAACCAAAACAAAAATCAAAGCAGAAATTCTGACAAATGCTTAATTTATAATGACTTAATGTAAGCCAGCCTGACAACTGTACTGTATAAGCCCTCTTTCAGAGAGAACTGATAAAGACTGGCTTACTCAAAGAATTAACCAAAGAACTGGTCAACATTTGTGACACAAAGGAAAGGCAGGAGGTATCTGCTTTTAGTCTGGGGCTGGTGACCTCAAGGTTGCTTTTGATGCAGGCATCAACTATGGAATGTTGACCAATCACACTATTTGATGTTTTGGAAAGAGTCAACTAATGAAAAGACCCCTCCCTCCCTTTATGTGCTTTCGTTAAGTATCTGGCACTAAATTATCTTTGGAAGAAAGAAAAGAAGCACATGCCAATAGCTACATTTATCCACACCTTTGGGTATAGTGGTGTATTTTGCCCAAATGAGCAAACACACGATGAGACTATTAATCACTCTCTTCAATGTGCTACTTTTGGGAAGAAACATGAAGGATTTTATAAAATATGAATGTGCAAACACTGAAATAACTATTTTCCTACATGCTTGCTCAACATGATTCTCTTTTGTAAAGATTAACTGTAATGTGCCATATTAAAAGGCTTTGTAAACTATATGGCATTATATAAATGTGAGTTATTATAATTATTGAACAGGCTATTAATTAAATAGAGCAAAATTAGAAAAATTGAATTTTTAATTTTCATTAGTCTTCTTAAGTGTTAACTAATGACACTCTGGCAGCTCTTAATATCACAGCTCATTTGAAAGTTGAGAAAAATGAGGAAAAGTGTTGTAATTTGCACAAGACTTTTGATTCAGTCTAAGGTAGATTCAACTTTAAAGGACAGCAGACACCCTTGACTTTTAGCCTAAGTATTCAATTACTTCTCCCTTCTTTTTCCTTGACTACCTGTGATGAGCAAGCCTCTCAGTTCACTTTTTCCCTCTAGTTGATAACTGCTGGCCACTGCTTGATTTTGACTCCATCGGTCAGTTCTCTTATGTAAGTTTTTGAAGATTTTGTGGATGGTAGTAGGTTTTCTTAGAGGCACTACATAAATCTACCCTTTGCAGTTAAAAGTCATTTCCCTAAATGTTGGTTACTTTCTATGCAAGGTAGGTGAAAAGCTGATCTAGTTGAAATGAAATTCTTAGGAGCTAGCACACATAGGCAGCTGAAGTGAACAAAAGCGGTGCCACTTCTGACTGATTACTCAGGGCTCCCTGAAGCACTGAGTTGGGAGAGACCCAAAGCTTCCCTGTGGGCTCCGTGGGAAGAGTTCCACAATTGATTAGGAATGTCTGCCATGAGCAAGACTGACAAGTGGAGCGATGGGTTTCTGCCATCGGAGTTCTAGGTTGATAAGTAATAGGAGGGAGGTGGGGTAAAGTCTACCTGCTTGTGAGCAGGTGCTGAGAAACTACTGACCCACAGAGAACAAACAAGTTCAACATAATCTGGATCTTTAGACCGAAGAACCAGTAATGTCTGTATGTCAAGGAAACGTGGTACCCTGCAATAAGTAGTCCCGAAATATGGAAGGGGTTATTGCAAAGCAGTTCATGAGAAATGTGGATGTGTCAACTACCCAGTGAGACGCTGACCCAGCACGAGTCTGAAATGATGACTCTTTAGCCCCTCTTCCTTTCCTGCCTCCTTCAAATCTAACTTGAGCCCAGTCCCTTCATGGACAATCCAATTCTAACGTCTGCCCAAAAGACAAAAACCGAAACCAAACACTGATACCTCCTTATCTCCCACTCCAACAAAAAACCTCATCGTCTGACCCGATGGAACTAGTGTTTGACCAAAAAAAATCCCTGCTCCCTCCATTTTGGAAAACGAAAGTGGAAAACAGCAAATGAGCTTCCAGATGAATGAGATTTATGAAGTATGAATAAGAACATACAGTCATTTAACATTTTGTTTCCCCATAATCTGTGCCAAGAGGCATTGGGGACCCACTGGTGTTTTCAAGTCAATAGGGTATGGAATATTGCATATTCTAACAAAGCCTTAGCTTTAGTTTATTTTCTAATCTAGAAGAAAGACAGAAGAAGAGAGAAAGAAAGAAAGAAAAAGAAAGAAAGAAGAAAGAAAGAAAGAAAGAAAGAAAGAAAGAAAGAAAGAAAGAAAGAAAGAAAAAAAGAGAAAGGAAAAGAGAGAGAGGGGGAGGGAGGGACGGAGGGAGGGAAGGGAAGAAGAAAGAAAGAGAGAAAGAAAGAAAGAAAGAAACAAACCCTCCTTTAAAGCAAAAGTGAGCTCCAAGCTGCTTACAATTGCCTTCTGCCTCTGCCTCTCCCTTTGTTTGGCCCTCTCAGACTCCCGCTTCTCATACTCTTTGCGGTATTCTTCCCTCTTCAGCCTTTCATGCTGATATTCCTCGTAGCTGTCATACCTGAGAAACATAACTTCATCATTAAGTCAACCGCCTCCGTTTAGGCAAGCACAATGAATCACGAACTGGGGAGGGGGCGGGGTGTGAGCTAACTCGTCATCTAGAGGAGTGGGGAGAGGAGGAGCGCAAGGAAAACCACCCGCCTCCTTACCTGGGCCGACGGCTGTAGGGTGACCTGGAACGTGATCTCGCACACAGAGGAGAATTTCGGTGCGCGCGGTGTCTGCAGTGGCTCGACTCATAATAGTAGCAAGATCTGCGAGCGAGAGGAAAAACAAAAAGGGCATTTGCAACTGCCACTTAACCCCGCTTTATCGGCCCAACTGAGCATGCCTTGGAAACACCGTGGGACGTAAAGTGGCTTTTTTTCTTCCTAGCTACTGGTGAGATTTCCCGGTGACAGTTTGTGATCACCTAGTCAGCTTAGAGGTCTGGGAGTGATGTGTTCTCTCCCAGCCTCTCTCATTGATGTTAACGCCGAGCGCCAGTCTGGTACACTGTCAGCTTTATCTTGCACGGATCTCAACTATCCTGGCACAGGGCAGCTCTCCAGGTAATGGAAAAAGTTAGATGAGCAAGTTTCTTACAAATTGCTCTCTGTGATCCGACTGGCTCAAGGCACTTGTGCTCAAGGCTGACAGATTTAAGAGAAGATGAGGAGGCATGTCGGTGTGACAACCTGGCTAGTTCCAGAGGCGCTGGGAACGGCCTGGTGAGAGGGGCTGGGGCTGTCTGTGGCTTTTGAAGGCTTGCTTTTTTGGACCTTACGCTTCGGGTGGGCGTTGACAAGGTTTACCTTGAAGACGATCTGCTGCCTGGGGACCTTGATCTTGACCTGGAATATGGTGATCGGGAGCACGACCTGTGTCGAGAAAAGGACCTTGAACGAGAGCGCATCCTTTGGGGTCTTTGAGCAAATAAGGATTTGGGTGGTGACACAGAATCTCTACATGGAGAGTTAAAAGAAGAGCAAGAAGGCGACACATCGAACAATGAATAGGTGTGCGTGCCATCCCAAGGGTAGTTCAGTTTATCACTTTCATCTTCGCTGTCATCAAAGAGGCCATCCATGGCTAGTCCTGAATTTATAAACATAGGTAGTTTGGAGAATTGTTCATTACTAAAATCACTGTCCCTCAGTTCACTGGTCTTGTCTGCTTCGTCGTCAAAAACAGCTTGACTGGGATGACCGAAGTGCTTGTTCAGCTCAGCTCGGATTTCCTGGTCTTGGAGCTGTTTCCTGGTGCTGCAAGGAGAGACCTGCTTGCCCGCCTCCGAAGTCTCTCTCAGGTAGCACTGGTCTGAATCTGTGGAAGAACAAATCTGCCCCTGCCAGTCGGAGGAGGCATCTTTATATTCTAGTGGTCTAGAGTCTTGGAGCTCCTGTGATATATTAATGAGTATTTCCGTTTTGGAATTAATCGACTGACAATAGTCATGGTCACCAAACAGCCGCAGACTGGGCCGCTTGGTCTTCCTTTCCTCGTGGCCACTGGTGAGCACGGAGGTCTTGCTGAGTTGTGCGTACAACTCCGACTGCTCGGGCCCTTTCTTGGCGGAGTTACTGCCTGGGGCGCCAGAAGGCTCACTGCTCCGGGGCTTCTTCGACGGCGGAGGTACCACAGTCTTGCAAGAGGACTTCAGCTTTGGAGAAGTCCTGAAAGGATTATCTTGGTTGGCTTTATGAGGAGGAGTTGTGGGTGGAGTTAGGCCTGAGGTCAAAAAGGGAAAAAACAAACAAACAAACAAACAACAACAACACGGAGGGGGTGGGGGTGGGGAGAGAGACGGAGATAATGCTGTTAAATGCCAGGATATGGTTCCCTAACTTCTCCAGGATTTCAGACAAGGGTGAGAAAGAAGGAAACGAAATTCATGACAAGACCTGAAAAAGTGCCTTTCGCCCCCTCTGCCTCTGTCCCCAAGAAAAGATGGATCTCACTACCTCCGGGCAGCAGGGAAATCCGTGATGCTTTGGCTTTATACGCCCATGATAACAGATCTCGCTTCCCAGAAAACGCTCACGCCTCCTACCGGCCTCCGTGGCACCAGGCATTACCAAAGCTCACATTTCCAAGGGCATCGTCTGTCTGCTTTACGGAGAATTAACAGCATGGCCCAGGGGAATCACAGAGTAGCTTTGGTAGCATTTGTCTGCAAAGAAGGCTGCGGAGCATACGAGTGGCTCAGAAGTTGTTCTCCGATCAAGGATATCTACCCTTGGAGCCCAAGAACTAGGCAACTTAAAAAAAAAAAAAAAAAAGAAAGGACAAAGAAAAAGAAAAAAAAAAAGATGGGATGATAGCAAATGTGGGGCAGGGTCAGAGTGACAGAGACAACTTCAAAGATAAGGTCAGAAAAACACAACAGACCAAGGCAGGGAACGAGACAACTCTGCAAGTTGATGGCAGTGATTGTCTCCACAGTTCATTAACTTGGTAAACCATGGCTAATGTAGGTATAATACTTTCTTGTAAGCATAACTAATACATTCTGTCTAAAATATGGTTCTGCAACAGAAACCTAAATGAACAGGAACACTAAATATTGCAGTACCAGTGGACCATTTTATTTAGAGCACAACATCGGGGCAGGGGATGAGGCTGAGGGATTGCAACAGATCCACACATCAACAACCAACTCATTAAAAACGTGGGGAAAAAAGGGAGATGAGAGAAACCCCGTCAGTGGGTGCCTTTCGTCCTTTTCTAGGGAAGAGCAGAAAAATTCCATCAGATGCCGTCATGGGAGAGTCTGTGAATTACAGTTTGCCTCCTCTATGTTTTACCCCGGAGAAAGTTCTACGCATCTCTTTACACCGAGGGAGGATAATTGGGAAGTGGCTCCAGAGTCCAAGGAACTTTGAAGAAGGGCAGGCTGGAGTTCAAATGACTTTATGCTTACAAGGGAATATTTGAGTTTACAACACACTTTCTATTTAGGAGGATGGGTGAAGGCTATTCAGCAGAAAAGAACTTCAAGTCTGCTAACAAGCCTGGGGTTAGACTTAAGGCAACTGCACATTTCAAGGAAATGGCAGAGAAATCTAACCTTGCTGGAGTAAGGAAAAAAAAAAAAGTATATATATATACTTAAAAGTATATACACACACACATAACCAAGTAGGTCACAGAAAGCCACTTGAAATTTTGGTATGAACAGGAAGATACTGCCTCTTTCTCTTACTTTACAATAAAGAGATGAGAGAAATTAATATTAATATTTCCTCTATAATAAAATAGTTTACAACTAATATTTGGCAATTTTTATTATGCATAGCTAATGCTCCTTAATGAGGAGAGAAAAGCTACAAAATGCAAAGTAATTTGACTCTGGAAATCCATCCCAGAAAAGTTCAGAAAGACAGGGAAATATAAACACAAAGTGAAGGGACACATCAGGGTCCCAGCAAAGCTCCCTCGATTAGCAGTCAGGCACTCTTCGCTGGAAGAGAACCGGGAGGTGACGTATTATTGAAGGAAACATCTGTGTCACTGAGGCAGGGTCTCCTTTTGTCCCCTCTTCCGTGGACAAGTATGTCTTTTCTTCCATTAAGAAATTCCTATATAATCAATCTTTCTCCTTTCTCTCTCTCTTTTTTCCCTCGTCTCCTTTACCTTTTGCACTGCCCCGTCATAACACTGATTTCTACCGCATGCTACCTTCAATTGCCATTACAACAAATTTAAAGATACTAATAATCCCACCCCCAAAGAAATGACAGATTCTTAGATATTTCTCATAGGAGGTTAAGATGCTCAAAGAAATGATGAATAATCTCTCTTTGCAGAGCAAATAACAGTCAAATATTCCAAATGACATAGCCCTTGATTGGGGGAAAAGGACATTCGACATCCTAAAATCCAATTCCATAAATCTTTTCATGGTTTCCAAACTAGGGTAGTTTTTACTTTCCTAATAATTTACTGCCAGGATCATTCATTTGATACTTATCGGATAATGCTATATATTCTTGCTCATCTCTTTTTGAATGTATGTTTTATCTTGTCTCTCCAAATAGATTATATGCTCTTAGTGGAAATGTTGCCTGGGCTTATTTTTGCAAAAATTCTTACTCATTTATTTTTTTTTTTCCCCTAGGGACGCCTGGGTGGCTCAGTCAGTTAAGCATCTGCCTTCGGCTCAGGTCATGATCCCAGGGGTCCCGGGATCGAGCCCCACATTGGGCTCCCTGCTCAGCAGGGAGCCTGCTTTTTCCTCTCCCTCTCTCGCTCCCCCTGCTTGTGAGCGCGCTCTCTCTCTCTTTGTCAAATAAATAAATAAAATCTTTAAAAAAATTTTTTTTTCTAGATTCTCCTTACATTTCAGTGGCCCAAGAATAACTTGGGAAGCTGGTCAAACATTTTTAATGAGGTGGCTCGTGGACCACATATGGAGAGCATCTGTCCTGCCATGCTCGTGCCGCACATTGCCTTGTTCTCAGTTACATGTATTTTGACTGACATTCTAGACGTACAAAAAGAAATCCTAAACTTCAGAAACTCCAAATTAGGCCACTATTAAAGAGAGACTAGTTCTAAAAATAGCTCAGCTATCTAGGGATTTTAAATATAGAAATTCTTTTTAGTCTTGAACATCTGAAACCCTTGTCCTAGTACGTAAGCTCATTATCGCTTAAATAACTGATTCTCAAGTTGCTATTGGGAGTGGCGACACCCTGATTGTCGTGTTTTTTGGGTTTTTTTTTTTTTTTTTTTTTTTAGTTAAAAGCCCAGCCTTTTACCTTCTTCACATCTTAGGCAGCCTGTAGCAATGGGAACAGACATTTCACTGAACACCTATTATGTGCTGGATCATACACCAGATGCGGATACATCAGGGACTTCGTGGTCCCTTTTAAAAAATGGGCAAATCTTCAAAACTTGAAGTTAAGTACATGTTCTTGCGCATGTGCTTAAAATTTACAGAAACACTGAGATAACCAAATATACCCTATGAGTGAAAATAGCAGGGCTGTAAATTTCTGTTGGCACACTTTGTTAAAAAAAATAATAATACTTGCCTAATGGATTGAAGTTATTTTAAGATTAGTGAGTACATGGGTTAGGGAAAAACAATTCAGATAATTCCCTAAACTTTTTACTGTTTACTGAAATGTCTTTATCCAGAGAATACCTCCAAGCAAGACCGAGAAATCTCAAGGATGGAACCACCAGCACGTAATTGAAAATCTATTTCCAGATAGAGTGGAGACCCAAAGCAAAACAAAGAAAGCAAAAGCAAAACAAAAGTGTAAGAAGAACTTTTTTTTTTTTTTTTAATGTAGTGTCAAACTTTTAAGAGCCACTGATGGGACAGGGACCCCTTGCTGCACCTGAGCTAATTGGATCTCTCCCATGTCCCCCAGCCAGAACTCAGTCCCCGGCGTTCGGAGGACAGTCAATACTCAATTCCTTAATGCCGCTACCTTTGCTCATCTTCCCTCTAATGGCCAGACTCTCAATTTCACCCCACAAGCTTAAATCAACAGTGCTAATGCCTCCCATAACCTCCGGATTATTTCCTGCGTGTTGATTTTCTGGGGAATGTGTACATTTTGGTGTTGACAGTACAAGGTATATTCCATGCTCTCTCTTGAACTTAGCAGGTTTTGACAGATTTATGTGAGGACAGATGGCCATTACAGGCTGAAGGCTGACAAGAGGCAGTTCAGAGCATTGTTAACACACTTGCACAAACTCTCAGCAGTGCAGCACTGTGCAGAATGTAATTCAGACTATAGCTTTTTTATTACTGCCTATTTTCTTTTGTCAAAAGAGCCTGCTGTGCAGAGCAAAAAATGGCTGCTATTACCCGGAATGTAATGGGTGTCAGACAAATCACGTAACACAAACAATCAAGAGTATGTAGGTCATATTTCAACAGAGCACAACCTTAGCAATATTTATGATTACTGCATTGAAATGTGTTCTATAATAAACAAGTACCTCTGCATCACTCACACTTATGCACTATGCACAGCAAATCGGGGAGAAGTGCTACACACTCCACAGTCATCTTTTTAAACAGCCCTTTTATTTAAAAAAAAAAAAGTCAGAGACAAGTTTGGTTTGGTTTGGTTTTTCATGATGTACCATAAAATGATTTTCTTTGAGGAGCTCTCTTTTGGGTTTGTTTGTTTAATTGAATGACTCTGATAAATCAATGATGACTCCTCTGGTGTGTGTGTGTGTGTGTGTGTGTGTGTGTGCACGCACACGCGCGTGTGTTCCACAAGCCACCCAATGACTTCAGCAGGGTTGGTTTGTTCGTTTTTTAATAGGTTATAACATTTTACAGAATCTACTCCTCTAACTGTGACTCGTTTCAGAGTTTCTTTGACAGTGGGATTTTTCTTAGGTCACAGGTCAATTGAAATATTTCTTAAGGAGAAACAATGAGAAGATGAGTTTCTAAGTTGCTTAAAAACTTACCCAAAAAGAAGGACTGGGCAGAGAGGCCTGTGACTTATCCCACTCCTAGATTTTATGCCTCAAGAACGTGGAGTGGGTGTCAAGAGATCACAGGACGGGCTGATACTAAGTATGAACTGTTCCTGCTCTGCTAGTGAGAATATTTTGTTATAAAAGCTCCTCTCGGGCCCTCCTTGGGCCCTCAACTTCCCCAGGACTCCCTGGAGGTCCAGAGGAGCCAGCCGCTGAAGTGTGAATGTTCCCAGGGAGGAACCTCTCCCACCCTGCTCAGTACTCTG